TGAAAGTTATTCTTTATGGTTTCATGATGGAATCTAGTTCTGGACTGACTCGTCATCAAAAAATTTCACAGTAAATAAAATTGGCTACTACGTTTGTTAGGTTTTAGAAGAGTTCATGATCAGTGTTCTTAAAATCTCTTCTCAGTTGTTACTTTTAGATGTATTTCTCCTTGCATATTCCTTAATCATTTCACTGCTGACGAGGCTGTAGCTTCAGGACTGTTAATGCATTCTTTGATATAATGTTGCCTTGAAATCTCTATGGAACATCACGAACTAGCATTTGTTAATACTAAAAGTACATTTTGCCCAATGCAAAGCAACACGACTGATATACTAGGCAGCAGTAAAGTGGTTAAATATTGAATATCTTTTGAATGGACTAGTGCCAATGAAAGATCTCTCAGTGTAGAGTCTTGGCCCTGTGCAAGGCACAGGCAGACACTGCTGTTTGCAGAACTCAAAAGAAAAAGTAGAAAAAATAAAGATCTTGTCATTTTTAGTTACATTCACAACTGGATGGACGGCGCTATGCAAGAAAAAAATGTTCTGTAGCATAGAATTCAAACACAAGGATAAGATTCAATGCACACATGTAGTTAGGATTGTATCAAATTAAAGTTAATGGGAACATCTTAATTAGATGGACCAAAGAGTAATAGTGAAAGAAAAACATGGTCACTGTCCCAGTTTCATCAGATTTCTTTCAAAATGACCATCGTGCAATGAAATGAAAACATGAAGAATGTAGCAAGAATAACTGAGCAATGAACCAGGCTTTAGCACAATATGAAATTATTTTTGAAACTATGTCTATTGTATGGGACAAGTTATTTATTTATTCGCCATTCAGTCCACCCATAAGAAACATGGATGTATTTCAATGTTTTCTGGATATAACTTTTCTTAATGATGAGGAGAATTTTGCGCAGGGGTGGGCAAGATGTGCCCAGGGGCCATTTCCAGCCTGCTGCCCCCTCGTTGGGATCCTTAGGCACAGAGCAACTCACGCCACTTTGAACAGCTGCTCTCTGCTCTGGACTCTGGGGAAGGAGGTGGGAGGCTTCATGTGTTGCCTCCACTCCCCAGCAAAATCTCTCGGCTCCCATTGGCCAGTTTCCAGCCAATAGGAGCTGAGAAATTTTGGATAAAGATAGTGCGCAAAGTCTCTCCACTCCCCACCCGGAGTGGAGCCAAATGGAGCTCCGCCATTTTGACTAGTCTGATGCTGCAACCGTCAGGCAGAGAGCCTGCCTCAGGTTCCTGTAGGGCAACTGGCTGGGAGCCACCTAGGTAAGTACCTCCCAGCCAAAGCCTGCCTCTGGCACCCCAGCCCTTCTCTTCCCCCCAACTATCTGCCCCAGGCCACCACCCTCTCCTGCCACAGATTACCACCCAAACCCCCTGTACCTCTCTCCCTTCTTCTTCCAAGTAACAACTCCCTTGAAGACCGTGAACCCCCTCTTACACCTCTCTCCCAGGCCAGAATCCTTTCCTGCAACCATGCCCCCTCCAGTGCACTACAAGCCCCTGCCCCAGATCACAACCCCCTCCTTCACCAAAACTCCCTCTCAGACCCCACACCTCCTGAACCCTAGTCCACTACCTCAATTTTCTTTCTGCACCCAACCTCCATCCCCGACCCTGCACCACCCCATAGAAGTGCAGTCCTTGACCACTTATCAAAATCTTGGAGTGGCCCCCCCATTAAAAAGTATTGCCCACCCCTGATTTTGCGGCTACATTGTTACGTACAGTTGATTATCAAAGTTGGAGGATACAGAATTTTATGGCCAAGATTTTTAAAATGAACCAGTGATTTTGGGTGCCCCACTTTTTAGGTGCTAAACTTGTTACATCTTGAAGGGGCCAAATTTTCAGAAAGTGCTGAGTATCTGCCCTCTGCAAGGTCCCTTTAAGCTGTTTTAAATTGGTTACTCAAAGTCTGAGGCATTTAAAGATCTCTAGTCACTCCTGACAATTTTGGCTAACATATTTAGTTTCATGGACCAGCAACTGCATAAATTAAATTGTCTTACAGTGAAATACAGCTGCCATGTAACTTTAAAAGCCTTTCCAAAATACATTCCATATCATTGCCTCCTCACATGGTTTAAGCCATAGAGAATAATCTGCATATCCAGATGTTTTCTGTTTTGCCTAACTCTTTATGTTTTACAATATACTCCCTGCCAAGAAAAAAAAGATTCCTATTGGCTGTGGTTTGGAGTGCTGAAAAATTTAGCCATTAGTTGGTCAACTTTTTATGCAAAGAGAGTAGACTTGTACTTTCTGTAACCTGCTCATGTTGTTAATAGCTGTTTTTCTTGTTAGTTGTTTAAATCAGGGCAAATAAAACAGAGAGATTTTCAAAAACGCTTAAGAGATTTAGGGGCTCAGGTCCCATTGAAGATCAACTGGACTTGGGCTCCTAAATCCCTGTGGAATTTTTGAAAATCTTGAGCCCATAAACCACTCTGGATATTTTTCTGTTTCTTGGTGTTACATGTTCTATTCAATTATGTGGTGTTAGCCTTGCTTGTTTTAAAGAAAAGATTGTTGCCCACGTGGTTACAGAAAAAAGTGTGAAGATGTGACTTGAGGACAGCTTAGACTTGAAAACCAGAAGACAAGAAAAAAATAGTTTGACTCATGATTTTTAAGTCATTCTCATGATTTTTGAGCACTTGAGGTATGGCAATGCTATTATATTCTTTTGTATATTGCACAGCATTTGTGGTTGGTCAAACCTGCAGTGATTTCATTGTGATTGGAAATTTCAATAGATGCTGTATCCAGGAGTGCTGAAACAGTTTTTATAGTGAGGGGTGCTGTGAGCCATAGAACCAACTGTAAACCCTGTATATAACAAAAATCACTTCAAGTCAGGGGGTGCTCCCGTACCCCCATAACCCTAGGTTCAACACCTATGGCTGTGTCTTGACTAGCATAGCCACATACTCCAAACCACATCTTTGCTGATTATTTTGATCTTTGCGCACACACTTAACTTTGGACAGTTCCGAATGAGAATGCGTCTAATAGGCTGACCGCAGAGCATTTTTCCCTCACCTTTATTTCCTGATTTTAACTTCAGTTTGAATAAACAGTTTGTTCTTGCAGGTCCTCATTTATATTCTGTTATGTAGGATGCATATGGGACCAATTTTCAAACTTGGGTGCTTAATATTAAGCATCTAAATTCATCTTTAGGAAACTAAATCGGTAGCCCGAATTTCAGAGGTGCTGAGCACCAACAATTTCCAGTGACACTGAGGAATGCACAGCACCTCTAAACATCAGACAAATTCTGAGTTACCTAGAGATGGAACCAGGTGCCTAATCTTAGCATCCATGTTTGAAAATGCTGGCCACATTATTTTGAAGCTTTAACACATAGCCTGTTTCTTTTAAAATTAAATTTTGTTGCATTTTTAAATGATTAAGTATAACAGCAATTATAAAATGTAACAACAGAGAATTATTTAATGAGATGATTCAGAATAAATCTGAAGATATTTAAATGGCATTTCACAATAAAAAGCCAACGCTGTATCTGCAATACAAACACTTAAAAATTAGATTGCCTTCCAACTGAAATTGAGCAGTTGATTTAGCTGCTTTTTAAAGAGGTAGATTGAACCCCTGAAGACAATGGCAATCTTTCCATTGATTTCACTGGAAGTTGGATTGGATCCTGCTTGATTTACGAGGTTGCTTCTGTGGATCAGAGAATAAAAACAGCAGAGAAAAAGAGCAACATACAAAAAGAATTATAACACTGCAATAATAATAATAATAAAAGCCTGGAAATCAAGAATGAACAGATCATTGAGTCAATATGTAGGATAGTGTCCTTTCATTAAACACACACACAGAGTAGGTGCTGGATTCAGAAAAGCACTTAAGCCTGGTCATTTAAGATGCCTTCCTCTGTTAGTTCCTAAGCAAGTAGTATTCCAGCACTTTGAAATATTTAACACTGATTTTCAACCTGTATCTAGAACCTTGCAAATTTGCAGACAGCTGCTTTATATCTGTGGGTATCTGAATCCACAGATGTCAATGTGGACATCTGTCTATGTTGGTATGGAGAACTTGAAAACAACAAATGGAATAATAGAAAACAATTATTAATAGTATGAAGATACAAACTAGAGAGGTAGTTTGTATGGAAGGACAGAAAGTGCACAGTTAGGATCAGATATTTTTTTCAGCTGCATTGTTGTAAACCCACTCAAACCAAGCCAGTCAGATTGTTTTTAAAGCAGACCTGATGGTGAGTGATGGGTAGAGCTCTGCACAGATATAAAATTTGTATCCGCATCCATATCTACAAAAATGAGCTGCGGATATCTGCATTAACTTCTACGGACGCAGATACCCATGGATCTGAAGTGGATATCCCTGGATTTGCATGGCTCTAGTGATGGGACTTTTTAGTTTGCCTTTTCTTGAGATTTGCAGTACTCCTTTTTCTTTACTAGCACTGTGACTAGTCTTGCAAAAGTCCTGCATCTTCAGAACATGTTATGACTCTACGGGAGCAACAGACATGTATAGTGTGCTGACTCTTCTAAATTTGAAAATGCCTTATATGAACAGGACCTATGCAATTAGTGAATGAACATTACTTCATTTTTGTCATATCCTCCTGTCATAACTTCTGATGTTTTAAAACTACTGCTAACTAATGACTTCCTACTGCTTTCTTCACCTCAAGTTATTTCAAAATCTTTAAGCATTGTCAGAGCATCTAATTTTTGCAACTGCTGGAAATAACTATACTGCAGAATTTAAATTGCCAACATATTTTTGTCTAAAACGTTTAATGCAAATAGAGTTCAAATGTCTCATAAGACCAAGTGTGCCATATAGTTTTGAAAATGAGAAATAAATGCATCCCACATTCACTGTGCTCTGTAGGCAGTTTATGTATGACAAATGATCTCCTTTGATATACTGCACTCAATTTTTTTATTGTTGTTATTATTATTATTGCAGGCAGTTTGGGGCCATCGGGTCACGCCTGACTGGAGCAGGATGGGGTGGCTGTACTGTTTCAATGGTGCCTTCTGACAAGCTGAGTACCTTCCTAACAAATGTGAAAGAAGCTTATTACAAAAGCAATGCCCAAAGGTTAGCTTTGGAGAAGAATAGTCTGTTTGCTACCAAACCTGGAGGTGGAGCTTTGGTTTTTCTTGAGGCTTAGAGAATGTAAAAATTTCAAAGAAACTATGTAGGGCATTTAGGAATTGGCAGTCTTCCTATGCCACAGTAAATTAATCCCTTTTCTGTTCTGTATTATAATGAGCAGTTGCTATTATCAAGATACATTTCTAAAGAAACAATTAAAAGAGGTTTCTTAAGTTTTATAATGTATTTTTCCATATTAAAAATATCCTTCCAATAAAAAGTAGCCTAAATACTTATTTCTCTCTGGATTATACAATGTAAATGTTGCTTTACTAAAACGTATCCATTTGAAAAAACTGAATAAACCAGACAATTCAAATAAAGAGGAATACTTTTCTTAAGTAAGTGTTTTTCTCCCCACCTTTCTCCCCCCGACATAAAGGTAAGTGCAAGTTGAGTAGAGAGTTATGTCACTTTATAAACCCAAATGAGGTAATATTCAACCCCTAATTTCAGACCTGCTTTACAGTTGTGGCTTACTCACTTCTTCCACTGTTGAATGCTGTCTTATCCCATGATTGAATTCCTGTGGAAAACAAAGAAACAAACTAAATTGTTAAGGGAATTGCAAATGTTTTGCTGAACACTGAAACATTTTTAGGATTCTCAGAGAAGAAAATATCTGGTATATTTTTGCAATGTAATATTAGAGTAGCACCTGTGGTGCTTAGTTAAGGACTGGGTCCTCATTGTGTTAAGCAGTCTGAGCTCATTGTTGCTATTGTTTGGATCGCAGTTAGCAGTGTATTTTTTACAACATTTGAGACAACTGCCAACTCTTTCCAAATTCTAAGGAAGCTGAGTGACAGGCTTCCTAGTTTTTTGGCCAGATTGAGTGACATCATAGCTATCATAAAGGCCAACAGAGCTAGTTGAGTTTGATTCTTCTCTTCTACTCCTGATCTTTTCTCAAAACATTTCTTTCTGGGTTAAAGTTCCCCTAGCTTGATCTTAGCTCAATTACAACATTTTTTTGGTTTAAAAAATATGTTCAACCATTTTTGAGTTGTGGATCATGAAAAAAAATATTTTTCTTCAACTACCAAAATATCCATTCAGCATTTATGGTGCTCAGACAACTCATGAACAACAACAGCAGCAGCAGCAAAATTAAATTGTATGTGACTGCAGAAATTTGGCTCACAAATGAAAAAGCTACAATTGGTTGCAAGTGACCCACTGACCACAGGTAGAACTTAATTTCTGTTATCCTTTGCCTGCTTATAAAGAAAAAGATTCTCTCACCAGTGCCAAACCAAAGTAAATGGGCTTGGTGGAGGGTTGGCCTCCCACGGGGAAAGGGAGGAAATGAGAGCAGGCCTTGCAGATACTGTTGGCAGCCTCAGAGCTGCAATAGTAATGATAATGTATCTCTGCTATTATGCTCCCTCTCCTCCCTCCTCCAGAAGAAATGATTAGTGGCTCCAGCCTAGTCTACTTGTGTCTTTCAGTGGTGAGGAAAGAGCCGCTAGGAAACTCTGCTCCACAGTATGCAACATTCTTGGTTGCTGCCCAGTGTAGTGGAACCTCAGATGTTTTCTGGTGCCAGAACCCATGCAACGTTGAAGGGCCAGGAAAGATTTGTCCCTGTGTACATCTCTACAGCTATGCAAGTTTGACTGTAAAGAGATGTGCATCCAAATACAGATCGCTCAGAAGAGATGCAGTATGTACTATCTAGTATGTACTACCTACTTCATCACTCAGAAGAGATGCAATATGTACTACCTTCAACTACATGTTCAAGAGGCAGTTCTGGGATGCTTCTGATCCAGTGAAAGTGGTGTGCAAGATTTGATCCAGGTGGCCAACACAGACTCCCAGATCTGCTCAGGAGGGTCACCGGGAACATGTAAGGGTAACATTAAAAGTAGGAAGTTATACTGTTGGCAAGTCAGAAACAGAAAGGTGTGACATAGATAACACTGGGATCAGGGAAATGATCTCACAGTTTTCAGAGGGAAAACAAAGGTCTAGTCAGGATAGCTGGAGAAGAGGAATAGAATGATGGGATTGTGGGGAGATGTAGAAAAGAGTTGAGAGGGGGAGTGAAATCAATGAGTGGTGTGAACAAGAATAGAGAGCACAGAATTCCTCAGAAAGGTTCTAAGCTTTAACTAGGCCTCTATGACTGCTTATATGAGCTTACATATGGGTTGTATGCTATTAATGTGTAGCAAATATGCATATTTTCAGCCAGACCTGCAAACATGGCAGGCAGTGATCTTCCAGAAATGATGAGATAAGCTTATAGCACTTTAAGAAAGAATAATTTGGCATTTATTTTCCAAAAATACTTTTCTTTGATCTCATTTATTTGGTGAAAATCATATTTTATGTATTTTCCTTTAATAAGTATATAACAGCTATCACAGCATAGTATGCACTGTGCTATCCACAGGCCTACTTTTCTAATGACTTAGGTGTGCATTATGTATGCCCATGTCATCAGAAAATCTGGACCATATTTTTGAAATTTGGAAGGAGACTGCTTTTATTTATTGCATTATTATAGTTACATACCAGTTCATGCATTAACTTAGCTGCGTTCAGCCTTAGTTCAGAGGGGTTCTTAGAAGTGCTCTCTGTTAGTCTAAGAACAGAATAAAGGATTTTTTGCATCAGCAATGTTTTTAAGTTGAACATGACTTTTTTTGTAGTTTCTGAATGTCTCCAAATATATGGAGATAAGTTTTCATGCCTGCAATAAGTTTCACATTTGAGCTTTCAGTAAGTTTAACAGATATACAGTATTTATGGATGAAGTAATTACAGAATCATAGACATATGGGGCTGGAAGGGACCTTGTGAAGTTCTCAAGTCAAGCCCTCATGCACCGGAGGGGGTGGGGAATGAGGGAGCACCAAGTAAATGTAGACAAACTTTGACAGGTGTTTGTGCACTCTATTCTTAAAAAACAACAATGACAAAGATTCCACCACTTTCCTTGTAAGCCTTTTGTAGATCTTAACCAGCCTCACAGAAAAGTTTTCCTAATATCTAATCTAAATCTCCCTGTTATAGATTAAACCAAATACTTCATAGGGAAACCCCTAAAATGTTATAAAATGGTTAAAGCAAACCTTCTAAACTTCTGGTTAATTTTTTTTCTCTGCTGTTCTATTTTTGAAATGTCTTCTCTACACTTGTTCTGAAACCTGAAAAACCAAAATTGAGCACATAGAATAATTAAACTTGTATTAAACTGATTTATATGAGAATTTCAAGGTACGCAAATTACACATATAAAAAATGTACTCAAGTATTGTATGCAGTCTCTGAAAATATGAGAAAAATGAATTTTTAACTTTTGTTATTTTAAAAGGGAAGTTGAAGAAACTATGGTTGGTATTTTAAAACTTCTCTAGCGATCAAAGAAACAAACTATGTGAGCATTAATGGTAGAAATAAAAACTGAGGCTGAGTTGAGGTTTTGAGGTTATAAGAAAACATGGAGCTTTTATATTATTGAAATCTAGAGCAGTGAAGAGAATGACAACAAAGAGGAAAGTTATTCATGTTATAGGTATCTGCTGTTGTCTTACCAGTGAAGAAATCTCTGAATAACAATAGTAGTAAAACTAAACATCCCCAAAGTGCTGCACATACACCTAGTAAAGCAGCCACTACCTACAAAGCATGAAGAAAACCTGAGTGTTGCTGAGAGTTTTCTAGTACAGGTCAGACTCATGCATGTGCAGCAACCATGTGTAAAACAAGGAAGTCTTTCCATAATTGGGTTTTCTTCAAACCAGCTTTTTCTTACTCAACATGCAAAACATTTCGCGCCCTTTTTTAGTTAAAAGAATTCAATCAATATACATATATTATTTAAAAAATAGCAAAGAACTTGTGCGATAGTAATGCATTCTAGTAGTGTGTGTTGTGGTTATTGATGTAACACAATGAATGGATTTTATCTTGTAACATTCAGGGGCATAGTGAGTTTAATCCTACTGTGCAATGGAGGAGATCTAAACCTTTCCAGAAAGGATTTATAGTAAAGATACTGCCAGACTTAACTGCAGCAGCATTGCCTGGTGCCATATTAATATGCCATATTATCTTAGTCCTAGTGACAAGAACTTCTCCAGCACAGTATTAACTGGTTTCATATCTTGTGTATGTGGGGCCTGCTCTTGCTCCCCTTTGGCATGAAGGGAAGTTTTGCCATTTACTTCAATTTGGGGAGGAGGTAGTCAAGTCTATATTTCTGACATGTAGTATATATGTCAATCTAATAGATAGTAATTATTTACATACCATCTGAAAAAAGAGAGTTATTATCCAGATTGGTATCACTCTAATGCCTTCATTTATCTTAAAAACTGCTTTAAACTTACACAGTATAATCCTTCTGGAATTCTCTTCTGAGCCTTTGTGTCTCTTTAATAAGTTCTTGATAAGTTGGAGCAACTGGTGTGCTACCATTTCAGTCAAGTGAAAAGATTTCTATTTTCAGACATTTTGGGAAATTAAGTGGTATGCTATATCCCAAGCAAATTTACAGGACAAAATAAAAAAAAACTACCCCTAAAACAACATTCAATTTAGATGTGTTCCTCTAATAAAAACAGACACTACAATAATGAATCAAACTGAAACTGTTATGTCTGGTACTAAATTATCATTTAGTTTACACATATAAAATATATGCATCATCAAACAATTATATGAAATGAACTTTAGAAAGGGTTCCTATCAAGAAATAAGAATCCACAACAGCAAACTGTTATGATTTAGCATTATTCACACTGTAAACTAAGCATGTGAAATGTTCTATTAGACACTAAAAGCTTATTTGAAGACAGTTACAGGACTGGTTAATGGTAGGATGGCACAATATTAAAAAAAATGCCAAATATTTTAATTGGAAATTGTGCTCTGTGACATAATTACACTCAACTAATCTGATGGCTATTCTGGACACTTGAGGTTGTCAGGCTGACAGAGACAGCCCTGTCACAACCCTGTATTTTCAGCTGTTTTGTTTTAGCTGTTCTCTTTTTGCCATTCTATTACCAGTATCACAAAGACAAAAGATTAATCCTACCTTGGGATTTAACCCCTTAATTTGTGCCCTCTACTTCTGGACTCATGTCAAAGAACAATTTTCAGGCAATGATCTTCATGTTCCATGAAACCTGCATTTGTAGATAGATGATCGTCTGATTGATTTTTCTGTGGACTTCTGGGTAGATTTTAAACTGTTACTTAACAAAGGGAAAAACTGAAATTACATCGTAGAAGGCCTGTTCATAAGAGTGCAAGGAAATCCTCATAACCTTCAGCTTATCCTTGGACTTCAGCTCTGTCAATCAACCTGATTCACAGCAAAAAGATGGCAGCTACTAGTGTGCTGGTAGAAGCAGTGCTCTCCATGTTGCAGGGCAGTGGTTCTCAAAATTTTTGTATTGGTAACCCCCCCTTTACACAGCAAGCCACTAAGTGTGACTTCTCGTATGCATTAAAAGAGGATTGGCAGGGATGGTGAGCCTACCCTCTGTCAGGGCTGGGAACGGGTGACGCAGGTGGATCACTTGATGATCACCTGTTCTATTACTTCCCTCTGGGGCTTCTGCTATTGGCCACTGTTGAAAGACAGGATACTGGGCTAGATGGACCTTTGGTCTGATCCAGTGTGGTCATTCTTATGTTTTTCCTTTTTTATACTGACCACTATTTTAAAGTGATATTTGTAAGTTTGTTAATATCGCTTTTCATAGCAGACTTACTAATGCATGCAGACATCACCGCAGACTTGCCAGCTGGCTGGGATGTATGTACGTGCAACCCCCACATACTAACCTGGCAACCCCTGAGCGGTTGTGACCCCCCCAGTTTGAGAACCCCTGTTATAGGGCTTGATCTTGCCACTGGCATTGGTACATCCCATGATGAGCTCCTTATTTATAAAGTCACCTATTCTGCCACCCCTACTCATACTGAATTCTACCTTACATCTTCTCAATCCCATTTATTTCAGTGGGACTATTACTCAGCATGAATCTGGCCCTAATGCTCTGAATCACTGAGTCACTCCAAACTGATTGATAGCTTTTGTTAAACTTGCTGCTTCTGCAGAGATTTGTTCCTTGGTTTTACTTCAGTGGCTCATAAGTACAGGAAAATGCCAAGACAGAAGGAAAAAAGGAAGCTCCAGTCCAAGCCATTGGAAAGATTCCTGAGGTCTGCTCCAATGCTTTAGCAGTAAAATCAGCAGATGTACATTCTCTCATTTGGGGTGAAGTCCTGGCCTCATTGATGTCAATGGGAGTTTTGCCATTGCCTTCAGTGGAGCCAGGATTTCATCTCTAGTCCCTGGCATTCAGTCCCTCGCAGTGCAATTCACTGGGGGAAATGTCAATTGTCAAGTCACATGAAAAAATATGATCGTACAAAGTCCTACATGTAATTAAGGCACTTAAGACGAGGATTAATGCCAAGTTCATGGCATATGAAGCCAACATTTCTACTGATAAAAATGTGCAATCCGAGAGTAAAAATATTATCAAGTGAGGCTGAAATGACTGACCACCTTCTGACCAAGTGGGTCTTTGCCCACGAAAGCTTATGCTCCAATAAATCTGTTAGTCTATAAGGTGCCACAGGACTTCTCGTTGTTTATTCAGTACAATAGTAGATTTGCCTATATTTGACACACATTGGTACCCAAACAGCTGTCTTTTTCACAGCCAAGTTAGGTGCCATTTTGAGAGGAAATAGAAGCAGTACAGGCTACCAGTCTTTCTGAAATTCAACACAATGTGCTGAATTCAACACAATTCCCTTACTTCCATTATGAGTTAATAACCACACTAAAAATAGGAAATAAAATATACCTGAATCAAGGGAATCTAGTAAGGATTTACAGAACTTCTTTAAAATTAAATTAAGGCTATATAATAGAGCCATATATGTGATCGAAGCCAGATATTAACTATGATCTCAAGGAACTTAATCAGAGGGGGGCTGAAGACCAAGAAAAATACAATTACATTGCTTTTTAAAGTCATTTATGGTGAAAGCCTGAACCCTGAGGGTATTTTCAAATAAATTCCTGAATAATGTTTTATGGAGGAAATCAACTATATCAACAGCAGAACAGATGATGAGTTTTCAAAACCCTTTTCTTTAGTTCCTTCTTCTTCCAAGTCCAGCTGACAGAGTGAAAGTCAGTGGACTGATGTCCTGAGCAAGAACTTTCTTTCTTGGTGGAGGTAAACAGATACACCTGAAGATCTGTGACTCAAGAAGGCTAACAAGGAGGTGATTGGCCACTTTTGAAGCTGTTTTGCTGTACTTCCTTCCAAGCATCTTGCTGCCACCTTTCTTAAAAGAAGCGGTTTGTACAACCTTGCTCCAAATAAAGTGAAAGAATCTCGAAGCTGACACATTTTTCCATTATTGCCCTGTTTCAGTATTCAGAGTCTTCAGATTTCCTTGATTCCAGTCAATTTATTTTTTGGATTTGATGTAGCAAAGACACTTCATTGAGCTCACTGGCTGAATGGTGATAACCTCTTGCTGCTGGATAAAAATCAGATATGCATGCTCATTCTCTCCAGTCTGTCAGCTGTCTTCTTTGACTTTTTACCATCGAGTACATGTAACTGTGGGCACTAGCTGGGCTTGATGGAGTGACTACAGGGGCACTCTATAAAGGTAATTAGGCGTCTACAACCTCTTGGTAGGCACCTAAGTCCCATTTTTTTTTAGGCACCAATGTGAAACATAAAATTGCCATTCAACTGCTTCCAAACCCTGCAGTGCCTAAATTCACTCAGTACTGAAGTGTTTGCCTCTGGAGTATACACAGTGCAGCTTTGCTCTAGGTATCCAGGCATCTGTCTTCTGGGAAAGGTCCTAAGGAATTTACAAATGGGGGAAGATAGCTGTTTGGCCACTTAAGTTGTGTGCAGGGGACTGGACCAGTAGGTATGCTGAGAGGTCACCTACCATATCAGACCCCTTAGGCAAGTTTATGCCAAATGGCTTGAGTGGGCAGGGGACCCTCCCTTAAAACTGTTATCCGAGTGAAAAGGTTATTTGCCTGTGATGCAGGGGACCTCCTGCTTGTTTTCAGTGTCTCTTCCTCCTCATGAGGAAAAAAGGATTTAGAAAGGGAACTGCTACCTCTGAAGTGGGGGCCCTAACCGGTAGACTATACACACATTACATTTCTTTCACTGGCCATATTAATACTTCATTATTATGTGAATGAAGTGGAGCAATTTCAATAGGAGAAATTGAGGACATGCCACATTAGAGTATTTCATAGCTTAATGGTTAGGACACTTATCTGAGCCATGACACATCCCTATTCAAATGCCTTCTCATCGGGGGGGGGGGGGGGGGACACATGAACCAAGGAAGCTCTGGCATACCCTATCAACAAGCCTGAAGGTTAAAACGGAGGGCCTTCATGTCCCCTAGCTGTTTTGTTTCAAACTGACCTGTGACTTAAGCAGATGAACATCTGCCTTTCCCATAACTGGTGGATCACAAGTGAGATGGGCGTCTTCCTGCAACCCAGACTTAGGTGCCTGTCTCTGTGAAAGGGGCAGGGCTTAGCATACAGTCCTCTGGTCAGCATCTCCCATTGCATAACTGAGGCAGCTCCTGACCTACCCTGCTGAATTTGTAGCTCACATTTTAAGGCATCTATTCAAAATATAAAAAGCATAGGTCCCTAACTCAATCTCTGGGGACTGCAGTATTGATCCTGTGATTTTCTAGGCACCACAACTTCCAGAATCACAATGCCTGAATCCCTTTATGGAACTCACATTTCTTCAGAGAGATTCACAAAATAGTTTTAAATAATTGCTTACCTGCCCCTTGTGTTCTGTTATGGAAGATCTCACAATATTTTGTTCTTCCGTTACTGCAATTTCTTATACAAGTTTGCAAGAAACAAGCTATTGTATAGTCAATTAGCACAACCATGTAAGCTTCATTTTATTAGATGGATTCTATAACCTGTGTCCTTTATTTGATATTAGCTCATTTGTTAGATCTTCATCACAGAATGATGTAATAAGTTGTGATATCTGTAAAATTTATTTGTTAGCATTAAGTTAAACTAGCAGTCTCACTCAGTTCATTCTTCCCAGACCCCTCTTTCTGTTCTTCCTCCTTCAGCTGCCTACATACAAGAAAACCACAGAGAGAACTACTGTAGTTGATGGCAGAAGGATCTTGTGAAAGAAACATTAATTTTCTGTAGTATTCTGAGTTATGAGGCTTGATGGTAGCTAAGCACATGGTACACATTTTTTTTATTCCATCATTAACAAAGTGCCAGTGAGTTTGCGAGCTCTCTCAAGCAATATTATGGGATTTAACAGTACAAAGTTTGAAATTCAGTGGTGGGCTCTACTAATGAGATACAATGCTACCTATACTGCTGAGAAAATGTATTTAATAAATAAAATTAGTACACTACTTGTTGCCTGATGTTTTTATTTATATTTGCAAGTGCTAATTACCAGAGTAGTTTTCATAATTTTAATGTTTCAGAATGGACTTTTGTATTCTGCATTTCTATATCTAGGAAGTAGTTAATGAGAAGGATGATATTTTGAACTCTGATTTTATGGTTGGGAAGTCATCTCCTCTTTTATTTGCTATGTATATTCTGTAAAGGCCGTCTTTAGTTCTTATATCTGGAGATAAGGAGTTTCCTTTTCTTGTAAATTATAGCTTTGAATCATGCACCATTAATGACAATCAGCATAACCATTCTTCTCTAAAGATGCTCTAAGTCTGCAGCCAAAATTATGCATTTGAATTATTTTATGAAGTTCCATGCTGTGTCAGGATCTGAGTGGTACACTGAATGTAGATATTTGTCTGTTTTAGCTTTTCTCTAGATTTTTCTTAATGTGCCGTCATTAGCTGTCTCATAATCATCATTTAAAGCATGAAAGACCATCCATCTTCTGTTTTAGTTGTGAAATGAATAGAAGCTTTTATGCTATTAAGTTATGAAAAACATCAACATTTTGTTTATTTGGGATGACTTCAATGTGGGCAATATAGTGTCTCCAGTTATTGTAATAAAACAATGTCACTTTCAGTGATTCATGAATTCACAATTCATATTCTCCAGGAAGAAAATCTGATTTTGTTTTAAAAACCACAATCATGCAAATTACTTATGACAATGAAAGTTGCTACAAAAGCTCATGTATTAACCACTTCTGGTGGTTCATTTGCCCATTTAATCTTTCCATAATAAGGGACAAATGATGGCTGCCCAAGGTGGGTGCACTCGATGGTGGAGAATAGCAGAAAATTTCTGCATTCAGCACATCCATATGTGAGGCAGACAACTCATTTTTGGGGAACTCTGCTCACATTCTGAAGAACAACTTTGCAATATTTGTAGCCTAAAACCCTTATAACCAGATTTCACAGAAAGGCGTCCCCTGCCCCCCTCCCACACACACATTCCTCTGAAGCACAGGGTCTGGGGTGGCTGCCCCAATCCATACTTGGACTTGTTCTGGGCACCACCAAAAATTATACAAAACTGGTTCTCATGTACACTGGAGACCACAACTATGAGAACATGAGAAAATGCTTGAGGGAACTCAAGTGTTAATCTTTATGGGGAATCATTAAATCTACCAAAAACAGACTAACTGGAAACAATTATAGAAGTAAGAAAGAACAAAATGAATTAATATGACCATTAGTTCTCAAACCCATTAGTTTAAAATGAAAACACACGTGGAAGGTACATTGCTGACTCCACCACAACACAATAGATGCAATCTCCCAAGGTTTAGGCAAGCCTATCCCAGAGATGTATCTAGATCACACAGTTCATATCCTGGTTCAGATCTTTACCTGAGGTTTTTGCATTTAGGGTTCTGGTTTAAACTCAACAACAATAGGTTGAGCTGTAAAGCTTGAATTCAGATAAGAATTTCCCTAAAATTTGGGAAGTTTTAGATTTATGTTTCTGGTTCAGATTTATCTCTGCTATATGGATTTAAAAGACAAAATTTCTGATAAAGTTATCATGAAGTTTCATGTAGGCATTATATATACTATGTTATGTTAAGGGATAACAGGATTAGGGACCAGTCATATTCCATCTTCATGTTATATATCTGCTATTTTTTTCTGTTTTGCTCTAACCACTTGATGAGATACTTTGCATTACAGTGGTCTGTTTCAGTCTAGAGAACAGAAAACTGTCCAACTATCTTGAACATAATGGAAAAAGAAAACAAAATGCATGGGTAGACTTTAGAAATGCAGTCTTCACTTTTCTTTTCTTTGGCTATATAAAACCATTGTAGTTAAAAGCTTAGAAGAATGCTTTATAAAAACACAGCTCAGATTACAGCAAAAAAGGATATGGTAGCTTGCAAATTTCAGTGCGATTCATCTTGTAAGTCAAAGAGCTTGAGACACCATCAGTGATTTCATGCATCTTAAGATAATGTGAGACCAGAGGACTTGGAGCACCAATTCTGAAGAGTACACGCTGGAAGACAGGACCTGAGCCAATATAACAGGACTGTGCAGAGTGGATAAGGTCAGCTAAGCATATAATTATTGAATTAATTTTCTTGCAAATATAGTAAATATAACACCATGGAATTGTGGATATACATATTACCAAATATCTCTGATGGTAAATGAAAACAATAATTATAAAAAAGCTAATGAATATGCTTCATATTGCAAAACAGGGATAAACAATGACCATTTTTTCGATAGAAAACTGGGGGGTGATCTGTGAAGAAACATGGGAATGCACTGTATTTCTTGTCAGTATTATAGGAGATTGTATCAGATCTACTTGAAATAGTAAAACTCCCACAGACCTCAATCACAGCAAGATCAAGTCCTTTGTGGGGAAATTTCCCCTGAGACATATGAACAACTGCCAGCAAACTCCAGCTCATTTTAATGATATTTTATGTCAATGCAATATTTTTGTAATATTACATTTAAGCCAATATTTGTGTTAAATGATTCTCTTGTGGTGTAAGTGACTATTGAACTTCATTTCAAATCATATTGCTTAACATTCATGCTTATCACAATCTAGCTATTGTTAATGCTAATGTAGAGCAAAGATACTTAAGTACTATGAAAGGGAGGAACTTCATAAATGGAGAGGAAGGGAAATGGATAAAAAGAATTAGAAGTAGAATAAACATGGGCAGTGGGACATGACAGCAACATGAAATGACAGATGAACATAGTTTTACATTTTTAACAGTTAATTACAGCTCCTGATTAAAAATAGACTAAAAAAAAGTGCAATGTTTACCGATTGTTACAAATTACACCTAATATTACTATATCTGAAAGGGATTAAAGTAAAACATATTTTTGTGGAATCTGGGGCCAGATCAACTGCTGGTGTAATTCAGCATGATTTCTCTAGAACTATGATGAATTACACCAGCTACGGATTTGATCCTTTATGTAAACACACACACCTTTTTTGTTACACATTACTAATAATACTGTAAATAAAAGTGAAAAATGTTAAAATCCAATTTACTTGATATACTTATAATTATCCAGTGTTTCTCAGCCTAAAGAATGAAGCTAATTTTGCTTTTGTTTATAATCACTTTCACTTTTAGGTTCTCAGTGCTGCAATGTAATGGTTTCTGACACTGTAGATATTTTTTTTGAAACATCTGTTTTCTCTGGGATTTCTTTTAATTGTGAGAAAATTAATTAAATTTTGTGCCAAATGCAATTTGAAAGTGTCCCTTTGATTTAGTATGCCAAATAGAAAGCTATGCAAAAAATTACAAATCTGGCATAGTAGTGAGTAGGAAAATATAGTAGTTATTTTCCAAGACATGACAAGAACTGAAATATTATTTGTCACAATTGTAATATGTTCACGTTTTCCTTTCCCTCCATTCTTCCTCTGAAATTCTATGTCAATAGCAACATTATTTTCCACATTCAGTTTTTAAATCAAGTGTTTTTAAAAATGCAGCCATATATAGGAACATCAATTCAAGAGCTTACACTGGTGAAAAGTCAGGCTTTTTATTTTAAACAAGAAGATTTACCTGGCATTGCTTGGGTCCTTAATTTTTTTTTTAAAATAAACTGAAAATGTCCATGCTTAATTTAAATCATTGCTCTGGAGTGGGGCTGGGGATAAGGGGTTCAGTATGCAGGCTGCCCCTGGGAGAGAGATCTAGCCCAGCCCTCTCTCATCACTGCAGCTTGGGGCAAGGTAAAAGGCACCTCTCCATAGCATCTGCAGCTCCAGTGAGCACAGTTGGGGGGAGGGATACATGTTCCCCGGCTGGGGTTAATCCAGGTTTGTCTGCCCCCTACAGTCCCAAGCCAGAGGGAGGAATACAGCAAACTGTGCACTTTTCACTTATTCCCTGACGAAGGGAAACAGCCAGCAATGTTCCTGTATGAACTGCAGATGGGGAGGAGCGTCAGCCTCCTCACCTCCCCTAAGCGGCATCTAGAAGAGTGGAAATCTCAGGGTTGGGGTAGTCCAGAAGGAGGCAGGCCCACACCCTCAGCCAGCCCCTTTGACCTGCCTGGTGATTCTGCCTCTTTTCTATCTGGTTTTCTGAGAAGCAAACCATTCTAGGCACATCTCATTTCCCACAATCAAACCCTTATGATTAAGAGGCTGATATCCAGAGTGTAAAATCACATTTAATCCTAAAAATAGTGTTTTCATGCATCAACTATACCTCTCATGGGAGCCCTTTTATGGAAAAGTAATTTCTGTTGTTTTATTTACTGTTTTACTTGAAGTTGTCTTGTGACAGAGGGTGAACATATTAATTACCCAGACAAAAGGTTGGCCAGATTCCAATCTGTTACCTCAGCACAAATCTAGCACATATTTATTTCACTGAAGTTGCTCTGGATTTGACCAATTTGATCTGATCCATTTATGCACTGTGTATATTTATGAAACAATATGCCAGATGTTTCATAGGTAAATTGATTTTTCACAACCATCTTTTTCTTGCAGAGAAAGGAGCAGTAAGAAATGCTCCCTCCCCCCCTCCCCCAGTCAGCACAGAACTACATAAGAGCATGACAGCCTCTACTTTTTTGGTGATATCAATTGTATCAGCTGCACTTGATAGCATTTTGATGCACCCCTAGGGTATCAGGTCACCCAATAAAATCTAAGCTTATGTTTCTAAGTTTCTGCTTTAGCTATAAATATAAAAAAAGATGTTTGTCCCATCAAAGAGGAGCTTGAATTTATTATGATTTTCATCATTATGATACTAAAAATGTTCTGTGATTAAACTGAAAACTTAAAAAAAATGTTAACTTGCTCCTAAGTGGTCATACTAAGAGTTACAGCATATTGTTTCCCAGAGACAGAAATTCAGGCCAGCAAGCTCCTTTGTGGCAAGGAGGAAGGAAGCTGTGTGTGGCAAAGCAGTGTTGCAGAAAAATGTGGGGTTGCACTTAACTTCTTAGGCTTGTCTGTCATGTCCAGCTCACATTGTTTGATGCTTCAAATGGGTACAAATGTGGCTGTTGATGGTGACCTTTAGCAATTCAATCTCCTCTGATTCTACTCTTAAGGCAGGCAGTTCGAGTTAATAATGGAATAGAAGCTGGCCACTTGAATGACACCCTGGAAGAGGTTAGGTTTTTCTCTGAAATAGCTTGATACTGGGATAGATAAGAATGTTAAGTTTAGAGTGTGTGAGCAAATGGGAAAAGAGATTTTATATATTAATTATTTTGGGATCCGACTTGGTAAGACAGAATTTAAATAGTACTGCCTGATAAACTCAGTGGCTATTGATAGTTCACATTTTAACTACATGTTAAATAGTTTGTTATTGATTCAATAACTTTAAAAAACATTGGTTTAAGTCTATAACTGCCTCTGATTTTTAAATAAACATCTCCTTTAGTTAACTTTATTTTCCTGTGATATACATAGACAATATGACACATGTTGCTTACGCTACTTTTAAACTGGTTCTCTTCCTTGCAGTACTGAATTAGTTAAAACCTGATTATGTGAAAAAAACACTTCTTGCTCCATTTCACCTCACAACAGCTGCAATCAACAGGCATGTCACAGCTGAGGCAACCAAGGTTCAAACCTGTATAGTCTGTAGGCAGCATGTTTTCAAGGGGAGGGGAGCTGACTATGGAATTCATTACTCCCAAAGATCAGGCAGAATCAGGATGCAGGACTCAACTTTCTGTAGGCAGTATTCTAATAATGGCATCTGGAATGATCTTGGCTCAATATTCAGGCTCAATTAGTGAAGGGGAGGGGTCAAGAGCTGCTGTCTCATTGGTACTAAATGTTACTATTAAACACCTGTATTGCAAACTCAGAGATATCATGGTGATTGTGGCCTTAGAATTGTATATTGATAACAAATATTAGCCACCAACATATTTGAACTTGGGTATGTAAAGTTAGGCCGGTAAAATGTCCTGATCAAATAGTCTAAATTTCAGAATTGTTCTTCTTCCGCTGACTTCAGTTTTCTAAATATGGGATTAGAGGGTTTAATGAAAATTTTGAGCAAAGGCATTTTATACGTCATTATTCTGAAGAGTCATGAAACATCTCCAAACAATTCTGAGATCCCAATTACCCTTTATTTGTCTATTTGAGGGATTCCGGCAAATGTCTTATCTAATGAGACTATGACCTTATTCCCCACTGCCAGGAAAAGTTACATAAGCCAAGGGGCAAATCTAATATGGTTACTTTAAATTTGTAAAGGAAAATCCTGACCTCAGTCTCTTCATTTGGGTGGAAGGTCCCAAAGACAGTGGAAGCTGTGGGGCTGTGCAGTGTACAGGATGGAGCAAAATTAAAGAATTCTATACACTGCAGCGGGAGGTGAGAGAGGGCATCCGCTGAGTGTGTTGGAGGGTTTTGTGGGTATTGCAGTGTATCCACAAAGTAGACCAAGTGGAAAATTCCCCTACTTAATGCAAGTGGTGCAATGTAGCAGCAGCAGCACAGGGAGAATTCTGTTCTCCAACTCTGACCACTGCAAAACCTGTTTACTTTAGTTTTGGCACTGGGAATTGGACTTGGCTATGAAAATTGATTCCAGAGGGAAGATCATCATGACCTAAATCCTTTGCGAGAGAAGGCACAGGAAGAGTAAAAGGGAAATGTTTTTCAGAAAAGCAATGAATGGAAATACAAACTACATATTGTGTATAATTTCATAATCAGTATAAAGCAAACCTCTTTTATAGTTTCTGGCTCTTTTGGGAAATCCATTTTATATTTGCTGTCTTCCTTTACTTCTTCAGCTGGTGAAATGTACATATTTTTTGTATCTTTGGTTAGATCTTCAGAATCAAGGCCCACATGAAATCTCACTGCTAAAATACAAATACAAAGCACACTTTTTAATGCTGTTTCATTTTTGCTTCCCCCCAAAAAGTAACTACTTTAAAACTATGCAATCTTCTTGCAATATTGTTTCACCATCTCTGACACAGACTGTTGGGTCCATGCCATCTTGACCTGTTATAGATTTTTTATTGCATACAGAGATATTGTGGTGGGACATCACATGTGTGTCATAGATTTTGTGGGTGATGTTTAATTCCACTAGGATACACACCAGGCCTTCGATTTAAAATTCCCAAATCAAAATTCCATTTAAACAACTGTGGGATATATGTTCCAGACAAAATGTTCTTGGCAAAATGTCGTGCAAAGAAGTTTCACTGCAGATAAAATATCACTTAGTGAAAGGTTGTACCACCAAAGATGTTTAATCTGGTTTCTGTATCATGAAACATTAATCTATATTATTGTAAATACACAACAGGTAACCTGGCAGATTAGACCATATTTATTAAAAGCATTTACACTACTACCATTATTGGAACATGGATCCTTTCCACTATCTATTTCAAAGACTTTTATGTGCTTCAGCACTAAACTTGTAACTTAACCTTCCAACCATTCAGATTCCTTAGGGTACGTCTAGACTACATGCCTCTGGCAACAGAGGCATGTAGATTAGGCTACCGGACATAGTAAAATGAAGCGGCGATTTAAGATTATTTAAATCGCCGCTTCATTTTACTATGTCCGGTAGCCTAATCTACATGCCTCTGTCGCCAGAGGCATTAGTCTAGACGTACCCTTAGAGATTTTTTTTCCACATGGGAAGGGGGAGGGGCAGTGATTATGGCCCATGGAAATGAAAGAGGAGTAGGACTACTGGTCCCAACATCCAATGAGTTGGAGCTATGGAATAATAAATATCCCAAGTCTTTGAGGTCCCAGCTCCTGCCTTCTCCATACCCCTGCCAGCCCAAAGAGTTGGGCTGAGGAGGAAAAATGTGGAGCAGCAGAGTTTTGGCATGAATGTATTCAATTTTGAATACTCCGGAGCAGAAAATGAGCTGAAGGACTTTATGTAGGCTTTGCATTTGGCACTGCAGAGGTATGTTACACTGACGTGTTGCCTTGCATCCAATTTTTGACTGGAAACCCCAGTCAAAAAAGGACCCTGGCAGCTCTGATCAACACTGCTAACTGGGCTGTTAAAATGTTGGTCAGCTGTATATTGGGAGCTCAGAGCTAAAGCAGGCTGCCTACCTGCCTTGGCACCATGTGGTGCCCAGAGGTGGCCGCCAGGTCCTTGCAGACTCTATGCACAGGAAGGCTCTGCTGTATGTGCTACTGCTCTTGTGCCTGAAGGTGCCACTCCCCCAGCTCCCATTGGTCATGATTCCAGGCCAATGTGAGTGGTGGAGCTGTCACTGCTGTTTCCACAGCTCCCATTGGCTGGGAACCATGACCACTAAAGATCTGTGGAGGTGGTGCCTACAGCCATAAGGGCAGCAGAGTACATGGACAGAGTGTCTCTGCACTTAGGGGCTGATGGTACCTGGCAGCTACTTACTGGGAGTCATGGTAAGTATCACTGGGACCCTGCAGTCCAAATCCTTTCCCCAGCCCAGATTTCCCTCCCACACCAAAACTACCTCCTGGAGCCCACACCCCTCACCCCCTCTGTACTCTACTTCCATCTCAGCCTGGAGTCTTCTCCGGCTATCCCACAGCTCCCATCCTCATCTCAGAACCCACACCCCTCAGCCAGAGCCCTCACTCCTCTGCACACCCCAACTCCCTGCTCCAACCTGGGAGTTCTGTCCCATTCCTTGAGCCCCTCATTTTTGGCTCTCCCATAGCCCATACCCCCTGCTAGAGTCCTGGATCCCAACACCTGCCCCAGCCCAGAGCTGCCCCCCCCCCAGCCAGAACACTCACCCCCCTCATGAACCCTATGCCCTCCCTATCCCAGCCCAGTGAGGGAGGGGGAGAGAGAGCAGAGAGAGGGAGAATGGACCAAATGAGAAGTGAGGCCTCAGAGAAGGGGCGGGGCATAAGGCAGGGGGGCAAGGAGGTTCAGTTTTGTACAATTAGAAAGTTGATATCTCTGCTCACATAGGGTACATCTACACTAGCCTCCTAGATCGATCTAGGGAGGCTAATGAGGGCGACCAGAATTGCAAATCAAGCCTGGGATTTAAATATCCCATGCTTGATTTGCATGTTCCCGGCCGGTCACCAATTTAGAAATTGACTAGTCCGAAGTAACTACCCACATCTACACGCGACAGGGAAACAGGATTCTGGAATAAAGCCCTAAATTGAATTAGGTGGTATTCCTCGTGGAATCCCATTTCACTCCCATGTGTAGATGCGGGCAGTTACTTTGGGCTTGTCAATTTTTAAAATGGCAACTGGCTGGGAACATGCAAATCAAGCCTGGGATATTTAATCCCAGGCTTGATTTGCAATTCCGGTCGCCCTCATTAGCTTTCCTAGATCGATCTAGGGGGCTAGTGTAGACATACCCATAATATGCTTGGGCATAAATGTATTGTGTGTATGAACCTCACACTTCATAAAGCCTTTTTTGTGAGCAGAAATAATTTACAAAGAAACTGCAACACAGAAAACATGAAGAACATCTGAAAACAGAACTAAATGAAATTGTCAGAATGATGCACTGAAGTTTTGATCAGTCTTAAATAACCCAATAGATTGGAAGTACGGTATAATCAAGATAACTAGTGTAGAAGAAAAAAAATTCTCTTGTGACTTTGTGATCCTGAATATGATGGTAAAACAAAATTAAGTTAAACAGTAGAAGATTTGCTTTAGTCAGGCATCCACTGAGAATCAGCTACCTTTCGGCTGGGTAAGTGAAGGCAAAATATAGAAGCATACAGGCAAGGAAAATAAAAGGACCAAGGATGAAGAAAAGTACATTTATACATGACAGGAAATCCACCGAGGAAAACAAATTATATCCAACTACTAGAATGCCTCATTTGCCTTAAAGAAATACAAAGCAGTCTGTAATAAGAAATAATGTCTCTCAGTTAGAACAACCGCAATATGAAGAACTTTATTTGGGAAAAATCTTTCTGAACTTGACAGCATCCCAGCTCACAGAAGAGATGGACTGCAGAAAAAGAAATGCTGTGATAGAAACTGAATGAAAGCCAACATGAAATAGCCTCTTCAAGATTACATGCTTGAAGAGATTTGCTTGAAGACAAAAGCTCTAAACAAAAAGGTTTGCCTAGCTATTCCAGAGCTTTTACCACACTCTTGAAAATAGACCTATCATTTTCTAACTCATCTGGAAATAGTATTTTCTGGTGCACATTTATGTTTATACTGAAATATTAATGTTCCAAAATTACGCTGGTCGTAAAAGATTGTACCAACTGTAATAGAGTGCATATTTGTTTAAGTTTCTTATCTTAATTTTTGTTTATTATTTTGACTAATTATAACTAGTGACTTTTAAAATGAAAAACAATGACATTGGTGTAGAAAGGATGCCTATGTATATATGCCCAGTCACATAAGCCCCAAAATCTGGACAGCATTTTGTTTAATGGACGATAGGATTTTCTGTACAGCACTTCAAGATATGGTCCTTCTCAAACCATTATTGAATCAAGAGGTAAGTTGAATGGTTACATAATTTCAACACTCACTGACTCAAAATCCTCTAGCATTTATCCAAAATCCACTGGAGGATTTTAGATTTTAGCAGGTTACACTAGACTTTCTACTACATTAACATATATGAGCTAATGCAATTAAGGTAGGAAAAGGTAAAATACAGCCAGATGTTTGAGGAAGGATAAAGTTGTACAGAAGGAAATGGAGGAAGAATGGAGAAAAAGGCTAAAACAGCAAGCACATTGAAGAGGAAGAGTGGGAAATGGAAAGTAAGGAAAACAAACAGATTAAACAGACATATTTTACTAAATAGAAGGGAGAAGAAAACAGTTAAGGAAAAGTACACAGCAAAATAGAATAGACATGAAAACAGAGGAAATGACAGATACCGTAGTATGTGCTAATTAATTAAATGAACGAAAGAAACAAGACACACCCAGGCAGTCTGGATGCTCTCTTTCAAAAAAGCACAGTTTGCATTACATAGCGCCTTTCTTCGAAAGAGAACTTTAGAAAAAAACATTCTTCCTCATAAAACAAGGTTTTCCACCATCAAAAAAACTGCCGCATTCTTTCGATTTACTTTTGAGAGAACGCGGCAGCAGTCTAGACACGGGAAGTTTTTTCGAAAAAAAGGCCACTTTTTTCGAAAAAAACCCTGTAGTCTAGACATACCCACCCAGTTTCAGTCCCTCCCTTCTCCTTCTTACTCTCCTCACAATATTTCACATGTTTTAGTTACTCCTATACCCTTCTCACCTTTAAAGTCATTGAACATTCAGTTACAATTGCTGTCTGGAGCTCCTCACCTCTATTTCATCTTAGACCCTCTTCAATTTGGTTTCCACACCTTGTATTACACTGAACCTGCTATTGCCAAAAATCTCTAATGACCTCTTCCTAACCAAAGTTCAGGACCAGTACTTGATTCTTGTTTTTCTTGATAAGCCTGTTACCTTCAACACCAGACTATCCTCTCCTGGTTTCTTTTCCTGCCTTTCTAATTTTTCCTTCAGACTACTCGAGGCATCCCCTTCCAGTTTTCTGTCAGGGAGACACAGAGCTTTGTTTTTGGTCCATTTCTCTTTTCCCTCTATAATTTATCTCTGGGTAATCTCATCCGCAAACTCAAATTCAACTACGACAATGCTAATAACTCATAAGATCTCTCTCTCTCCTTCAGACCTAGCCCCTTTTTTTCCAAACTAAAAACCTGGCCTATTTGAAATCCCTTTGTGAATGTCTAGTCATCATTCCAAGCTTGCCATGGCTAAAACAGAGCTCTTACATCCCCTCCTTCAACTTTCCCCAATGCCTCCTTTCTTGATCACTGTGAACAGTCTCATCATGCTGCCCATCTCTCCAGTCAATAACC